TTAAAATGTTTTGAGATTCGTTCTTAGTTAACAAAACATCAATATTTCAAGATTCAAGACTTTTTATTAGTTTATGTGTGATATTCTCATAGAATGTCATTGTAACACAATATCATTCTAACAGAATAAATATGGTTATGATTAAAAACGAGGTTTGAATTGAAATTGGATTAATTTTAAAAAAAAAATTAGATTTTTAATATTAAGAGAATTAATTATACCTTAAATTCCAAAATTTTCCTTTGTTAAATATAGGTTAATTGACTAAAATATCCTTATAATGAAATTTGTGTGATTATATAGTACATGTTATTCCATTGTAATATCATAGACCCTCGCATCATAACATTTCATTCTTTTCATCCGTTGGTCTAGAATTGTCCCCTATGACCACACAATAGATGGCATCTACATTATAACCTAGCCCTATATATATATATATATATATATATATATATATATATATATATATATATATGCACAGCGGATGAAATTATAAAGATAGCTCTTTTTGCATTAATAGTTAAACTCGTGATTTCGAAAAAGTGTAAAGAGATAAAAGAAAATTTGTAAACCGTATCATCTAAACGGTTCATGTCAACTGCTTTAAGTCCCTGTTAATGTAAAATGTGGAAAAAATAGCAATATTTTTGGGTGTGTGAGGGTTTGAAACTCATACATCCTCTATTGAGTTCCATCTTTCAACCATTTAGCTCTTGATGTGAATATGTAATTAAAAAGACAAAAATCACTATATATAAATATAACTAGGTGTGAGACGTGTATTACACGGGTTGATTAGAAAAAAAAATTAAATATTAAGGTGTAAACTTTAAACATTTTTTAAAAGTAAAATTTCTTAATAAATACAATCGAAATGATGAATAAGTAAGTAATTTAATGGGATATATGCAAAAAAAGTTTCATTATTTTTAGAAACTTTTTGATAAAGTCCTATTTTTTTTAAACAGAAAAGCCTCGATTATTTAATATTTTGTCAAAATTAACGAAAAAGTCTTTATTTTTATTTTAACAGGAAATGACAAATTATCGTGTAAAATTAAATAATCGAAACTTTTTTATTCAAAATTTTTTTACCACTTTATCAAAAAATTTGTCAATATAATAGAATTTTTCTGCATATTTACCTAATTTTATCTATAATAATAAAAAAAAACACCGAGACTATAAACCTTATAATTATCAATCCTAATGTAACACCCAAAAATTCAAACCAATTTAAACTTTTAAAAACATTTCAAACCATTAAAAATCATTACAACTTTGTTTTCAAAATGTATAATATCAGAGTTTTCTCAGAAACATAGACAAAACATGAGGAGCTGTACGATCACGCCTTCGCCTTGCCACGATCCCCTGATGTACCTGAAACAATAAACTGAAACTGTAAGCCCGAGAGCTTAGTGAGTTCCCCCAAAATACCGATACACATACAGTCCATATAAACATATCATAATAAACTGAAAAACATGTAATGGGTCCCCAGCTTTACAGACTGGAATGCTCCTGAGCCCACAGTACGAGTCTCCCTTTAGCCCGTAACTGGAATGCTCCCGATCCCACAGTACGAGTCTCCCTTTAGCCCGTAACTGGAATGCTCCTAAGGTATGTTGGCTACCGCACGGAGCAGTACAACCTCAAACCCATCCCACATAACATATAACATACCACATAACCACTAAGCATGCAATAATCATATAACATCACAGGTAGTCCTACAGGTCTACCTAACTGACATAACTACTAGCATGCAACACTAACTTATACTCAACATCTAACACTGCTAGAATAACATATCCAATGGGCCGGCCTTGGTGCCTTAGACCCCTTAGTATAGTGAGGATAACTCACCTTGCAACTGTCGTCTGAAACTAGAAAGCTCAACTCCCGGATCACCAACACGAACTCCACCACCTAGTTACCATAAAACCCTTTTTCATAAATCTCCAAATTACCAGAATACCCTCAGAAGTCAACTGGTCAACTCTTGGTCAAAGTCAAAGTCCACAGTTAAAGTCAACAGTCCATGTTGACTCGACTCGTCGAGTGTAGTTCACCGACTCGTCGAGTCCTTCCTGAACTCGAGAAGTCGTGAAATCCTTGATTGGCTCGTCGAGTTCCTCTTTAACTCGTCGAGTTCATACGTGTCCAAGAATTGGGAGAAACCCTAGCCGACTCGCCGAGTCTTCGAACGACTCACCGAGTTCAAGGCAATCTTCAACGGACTCGCCGAGTTTGTTCATCAACTCGACGAGTTCACGACCATCTTCATATGACTCGCCGAGTTGACTACGCAATTCGCCGAGTCCTTGCAGACCTTCATCCATGCAGACACTTTTTAAGCCATGCCAAGGTTCCAGATTACAGATCCAAGCTTCTAAGGCATGTTTAACATGTAAAGTTGCAAACTTTACACACATGCAAGGCCCTAAAGGCTCTAAATGACCAATCTAAGCTTCTAATGGAGATTTACACCATAGGAGAGTCTCATCCTTGCAAAATCTGGAAACTTTATGGACTTAGGACTCAAAAGAGGTTCAGATATGAAGTTTCAACTTCAGATCTAGCTCTCATACCAAAACCCCTTCATGAATAACTAAAGAAAGCCCTAGTTTTCACATATGAATAATTCTAGAAGAAAAAGAGGTTAAGGTAACAGTTGGTTACCTCCAAAACGTGCCCAAGCTGAAGTAGACTCTGGATCCACACGGAAATCTTGATGCTAGCCTCTTGATCTACAAGTTTCCTTCACAAAAGTCACTCCCCAAAGCTCCAAAACACTCTCCAAGCTCTCACTCACAACAATTAGGGTTTCTGGGTCTCAAGAGGGTGATAGAGGACAGTGGGAGGCGCTAATGGTCCAATATATAGGGTGCAAAAACCCTGAAAATTAGGGTTTCCACTGCCAGCTCCTACTCGTCGAGTCCCATGCCGACTCGACGAGTCACTCATTAATTGGCGTGTCCTGGCCCGCTGCTACTCGACGAGTCATAGCGCCAACTCGTCGAGTAGACCTTCAACGTGAAGTCTAAAAGGAAAAATATTAATAATACCTGACGGTTGGGATGTTACACATAAATTTGCAAACAGTTATTTTAAACAACAATGAGCGTTTTTTCGTAAGTCCGTCATCGTTATTTTTAATTAATATGTAAAATGATTTTAAAATATTCACAGTGTTCTTTAACTCAAGAATAATGATAAAATAATCATAGTATACAATAAAATATAAAATTTACTAGACTAAAAAAACAAATACAATCATAAATGATAATATCATTGTTTTATTTAAATTAAGAAAATAAGGCAATGTAAGACATACATTGTAACACTGCATTTCAGGTTTTTCCCTTTTAGCCATTCATTAATTGTAAATTCTTTTCATTTTGGTCCCTAGCTGAGTACGTTGGGCGTACTGGCTCGATGGTTCGACGCGGAGGCACTCACGTACGTTGGGCGTACGCTCATCAGGGACAAACCCTAATTTTTAGGGTTTGTGTCCTATTTAATCAACTTATGTTGTTTTGGGAGCTTCTTATGGTCAGCCTCCACTTCTCCAAACTTTAAGAAAGAAACCCTAGCCCTCATTTGAGTGTTTGCCATATGACATATCAAGTCCCTAGGCTTAAATAAATGTAGTATGATGGATATGACATAGCTCTATAATTTGAGGGACTAATTTTGTGTGGTTCAAATTTCTTTTCCATAAGGTGTAACCGATCATGCACATGACAATCATGTGTAGTATCCAGATCGTGAACACGAGTTAGTTCATTTGTTAACCCGCTTGAACTTGTAGTATCTTGAAGAAGATGTAATTTAGCTTGAGCAATTGTTTTCATAACGCACATGTTATGCTCATTAGATGAAGACAGGTCTATTGAACTTGATAATGAAGATGAAACTTGTCTGTTACGCATGGATTTAGTTAGGCGTGTAATCTAACTCCTTGAATCTCTTCTATGATTATATAATATTGAGAGAAAAGTTGATTTATTATATATATATATATATATATATATATATATATATATATATATATATATATTAAATCTAAAGGAGCTTAGCAATAGTAAATTTTTTTACCTTTAGGTTTTTGCCACAAGTATTTAGTGAATTTGACACTTTTAGTCCCTAAAGTCAAATTTTTTACATTTTTATGTTTTGATTAAGTTTTTGTGACTTTAGATTTTTGACATAAATCTTTAGTGACTTTGACACTTATAGTCCTAGCAGCCAAGCAATCGTAAATTTTTTACCTTTAGGTTTTTGCCACAAGTATTTAGTGAATTTGACACTTTTAGTCCCTAAAGTCAAAATTTTTACATTTTTATGTTTTGATTAAGTTTTTGTGACTTTAGATTTTTGACATAAATCTTTAGTGACTTTGACACTTATAGTCCTTGCAGCCAAAAGTTTACATTGTGGTGTTTTTGCCACAAATCTTTAATGAATTTGACATTTCTCGTCCTTGTAGTCAAAACTTTTACATTTTGACATAAAAAACACAAAAAAACCTCATTTAGAATTTTACCACCATATTTTCCCAACTTTGGCAACTTTAACATTATTGCCACAACATTTTTGGATTTTCTCTACCAATGTCCCTTCTTTTATTTGTATACTTTTGACATCTAATTTTAAGGGCTGTCGATTTTCTCTCCTATTTGTGGTGATTTACAATTTTAACACATATCTTTTAAAGTTTGCCCATTTATTCCATATTACCCCAAAAGCGGCGTAGCCGTGAGTACTTTGCTAGTTATTATTATTATTATTATTATTATTAAGATACGGTGGTTATTCATAGATTTTTCTTTCTTCTCTTTCCCTAAGGACATATGCTCATGTTCCTGGTGGGAATATGGTTCCCAACGTTAATGCAAGGATACCGTCCTTCCTAACTATGTATGTATGCGAACTTTTTTAAAGAAACAATATTTGAAACAAATATACAAAAGAAACATGAGATCATATTTGCCTGGTAAATATTATCGTTTATTTTGGTTAAATATAATGTAATTCATTACATAAAATTCAAGATATGTTTCAATTTAAGTTAGTCCTGAACTAGAATTTCATTTTGAGAAACGTACCTAATGGCATGTATGTTTTAGGGTTATCAATATCATCATGATACTCGAAACTACGACTCGATTTCGACATTGATTCCGCACGGAGTGCTGCCATAGCCGCCCTCCGCCTTTGCTTCTGTTCTTTCAATCTCTTTATTTGCTCTTCCACCGCCGCTTTTGCCTCCTCCGCCACCTCCGCCCTCGTTGCCGCCTGTTCGGCTCTTGTCCTAAACTCGCTCACTCTCGCCATCGCACTCTCCAAATCTTTCTTCAAATTCTCCATTTCCGGTTCAAATTTAGCTTCCTCCGCTTTCTTCACCAACATCTCGTATTCTTCCAACGAAATCGTGATCTCATGGTCAGAATTTGGAAGTTCCGATTGTAAACTTTCGTTTTCTTTCTTCAGTTCTTGGTTCTCAATCGCCATTTCCTGAAGAGTAAAATAAGCAGCGGATTTTTCGCCTTTAGCTCGTAACTCGGAAGCCTCCGCAGCTGCGGTTTTGGATCTCCCTTTATGAAGCTCGGCCTTCAACAAGGCTATTTCGACTTGTGCTTCGTTCTCTTTGTTACACATCTCTTCCAAATCGGTTTTAACCGTGTCTAACTCACCTCTGATTTCCAGCTTCAACTGAGTCAACTCGCTCTCTAATAACTCGATATGTTTTTCAGCCTCTATCTTCGCGCTCTCTGCCTCCATGGACGAAACTTGTAAACTGAGAATGGTGTCATTGAGCGCATTTGTGTGTTTGATGGCCTCGAGTTTATCATCGGTGGCAGCCACGAGTTGTTTCTCGACTGTAAGAAGCTGATCTCGTGTTGATTTTAAGTCGCTCAACTCATCGGCCATAATTTGGATCTTGGAATGGAGTTCTGATACACGAATTTTTGCTTCCTTGCATTCGTTGATGTATATATCTTTTTCGAATTCCGAGGTATTCAATAGCATTGAGAGCTCGTCAACGGTTTTTTCGTGGTGATCTTTGTTAAGAAGGGCTTGCTTATGGGCAGAATCCATGGCTTCTAGTTGAACTTTGCAATTAGCCAAATCTTGTAGGACAACTTCAAGATCTTTCACCTTCTCTGATTCCTGATCCATTTTTCATTTCAAACAACCAATTCATCTTGTGATCAATACGTGGGGAAAAAAATACAAATTATACTCGACTGTATTTGTCCAGAATCATCTATAATAGACGATGACATGCAGATGAAACTGCCTACAACACCGGAATTAGAAACTTACATCGTCGCTACTAGACCGACTCCTGATCTGACCGCATTTCTCCCCAAAATGCGAAAGCGATGCTCGAACGGATTTGATATGATCTGTATCGATCTCCCCCATACTTTCTTCCCTAAACAATTCAGTCATTATGATTGATATGTACAAAATTGCTGCATATGTGCATGTGCGAGAGAGAGAGAGAGAGAGAGAGAGAGAGAGAGAGAGATGTACCTCGAAAAATTAGGTAGTTATGGAAGTTGATCGTTGAAGATCGTACAAATATGAGAAGGAAATATTGTTCGTACCATTGGGTTTATCGTTTTCGATTGAAGGTTTTGTTGGTTTCCGATAGAATCGAAGACAAAAATTCGGCTCCTTTGTGTTAGATTAAGAAGTTGCGTTGATTTTGATGTATGTATATTAGTATATTATACAATATACACAAATACACACATAGACGCTGAGACGTAGAGAGATTGAGTATCATACCGCCGTCCACCTCCACCTAGTGAAGATCGCCGGCCGGCCAGCTGTCTGAGGTAAACCATGGCGCATATACCAGGCAGGAACTCATAGTTTTCTTTTCGTCATTTTGCTTCATATAGATAAGATTTGACTTCACCGAATCCTACAATTTTTCAATTGTGTTCTACCCCGTTTCAGTTGGAGTTTAGCTCTTGTACGTAGTGATCCAATTGGTTTACAGTAGGCCCATTCCATTCGTAGTGTTTTTTAGGTAACGTCAGAATTCGGGGTGTGCACAACGTGATCTTGTATTTGACTATTTGAGATAAAAAAAAAATGTCAATAGAAACTATATTTGATATGTTTATAAAAATAAAATGGTAAGGTCCTTTTGCAGCAAATCTTACATACCATATCTATCTTATAAAACTTAGCACACCAATGATCCCTATGTATGTTAGATGTTCGGATTTTAGTTTCTCTAAAAAGTAAGGGTTAGGTCCATGCAAAAATTACCAATATACATTAATGAATTTTTGTTTTTTGAAAATAATATATAATTAAAAAAAATAAAAGATAATTTGTAAACATATCACATATACACAGAAACACACCATTCTCGTACATCATTGTCTTCTTCTTCAACCACTCACCTACAACTTGATAAACACACATAAATACACATAGATGTGAGTTTGGGTTTGAAATCGAATGCAAGGTGTTTGAGTTTTGTTGATTCCAGATTTGGAACTAGAGAATGGATTAGGGCTCTAATGTCGACCCATTCTCCATTGCCATCACTATTGTTTAAAAATGTGTTTCAATTATGGAACACTATTTCATCTTTTTCTAAATTTGGATCTGATTTCATCTTCTACTATTTTGGGTTCGGGTTTTTTGTATTTCACATTGATGTTCATGGTATATTCCAAATTTTTCTCAAATACAAGCTCATAAATAGATTGAATATGGTTTTGTGTCCAAAATGTGTTGTCGATTCCCTGTGTTTAAATGGTTTTGAATTATTTCAACTTGAAGATTATTTTAATATTTTTTTGGGTTCGTCGATGCCCTTGTTCATCTAAAATTCTTATTTGTTATTAGTTAAAGGTTGTTTGTCGAAAATGTATTTTGTTGATGGATGGATATTCGATTTTCTTTAGATAGTTTGATTAGTAAAGGATTTGGTTTCGATTGTAGTGGTTGATGTTTCAATTCTAATTTTATGGATGCTAGAATGAAAATGAGTTTTCATGTGTTGAATTTTAGCTAATGGGCCACTTCGAATAATGGTTAAGATGAGTATGAGGTATCACCATTATCATCCATGTAAACATGTAAACCCACCTATACCTTAATCCATGTCCAGTAGGGTGGGTGGGTTGATGGGATCGATCATCATCAAACAATATATAATCATCGAGGTTTAAAAATATCTTACTGATAATAGGATTAATCAACATGGGTGTGTGTTTTTAATTTTCAGTATGTGTCTATGTGTGTAATTTGAGTCATAGTTAAAGGTCATTTAGGAAAAGATGATGTGGTGGCTGGTGTGATTTTTGGCTCTTATATTCTTTGGGGAAAGAGAAAACCTCATTGGTTAATAATGAAATAAAAGAATGACAATATAATATTTCCATTTATATTTAACAGAAAAATTAATAGTGTTAGTCATAAGGACGGATGGTGAGTAAGGTTTGCTCTAAAGGGATCATTCATGTAAAAGAATGTTTAATAAGGACCATATTAAGGAAAAAATCAAAACCATAAGGACCATTTGTGAAATTATGTCTAAAACTATCATGATACAAGTTGGGTTGTATTATATTTATAAGCAGGGTTTTAAGCCATGCGGAGAGAGTTTATTAATTCCATTATTCCATATGTATAAAGGTTATTTTTTATTATGAAAAAACTAATATAAAATATTAAAATGTTATTTTCCATTAAACAAACTAATACAAAATATTATTTTCTAATATTATACAATACCACATTAGCATCATCGAATTCTCCTCCTCATCATCATCACACAACGTCAACTCCGTGTAGTATTCACTAGGCAACATCTTTACATGCATGTATGCATGGAAGCTTATCGCCATGTATACCATTATCTTTACAACCATGAAGGAAAACTCGACATATGGAAGCATGATCAATATTAAGATGTTTCTAGGCGTTTCTAGGAAGAGGCATTGAGAATTGCATCATACATGATTAATGGAATTCCTCAACAATGTCTCCAATATGTGCCCGTAGTTGAGAAACTACTAAATGTCAAACAAAACATGAGTCGTGTTCGTGTATTTAGTTGTGTATGTTATGTGATCATACTAATTCATCTTCTTCGTAAGATGGAGAAGAAAACAATTAGTTTCACTTTTATGGGGTATAACTAAGAAAGAAGTGGATGGAGATGTTGTGATCTGACCGTAGGTAAGTGTTATGTATCTAGAAACATATATAGTATTTGATTAAACATCGTCATGGTGGTTGGTCAATTGTGAAGTGTTTCCAAACTCGACTATATACAGGCCGCTTTCGGTTTAAAAACCTAGATATTCGTAGATATCCAAACCGAACTGTCATATATTCTATAACAATTCGAAACAGAAAAAAACTAAACATTCCAAAACCAAACCGATCCAGCAAATCCGAAACCAAAATAAAACAAAATAAACCAAAACCAAAAAAACCAACTACATACGGATCGATTTCAGTTTGGATATTTAGATATTCGTGGATATCATAACCGAACCGTCATATATTCTAGAACAAATTAGTAAATCATTTATATGGTTTAGTAAAATTGCATGTTTGGTCCCTATTTTTTTTCACTCGAATCGTCCTTGTAATTTGGTTTTGTTGCGTTTTTAGTCCTTGACACATATAAAAAGATTACATATGCAATAATTGAATGTTTGGTCTCTAGCTTTTTGTTCCATGACACATGTGGAATAATATGTAGGTCTCTACCACCACACATACTCCCCTTCCTCTCTATTAACCTCCTTTCAACCACCTCCGACAGTACCTCCCTTTACCTCTATTCACCTCCAAATAACAACGCCATTCACCTCCAACAACCACCATATTTCACCTCCATCAACAACCACCAGTCACTACACCTACCACCACTTCTGAAATCTAATCCTAGTTTAAAAGAAAAACCAGTACCTTACACTTAATGTAACATCCGGTTTTGAGATGTTTCCTTATTTAGAAATCAGACTTTAATTTAATCAATAGAAGGTCTCGGGTCTTAAGGGACGAAGTATGGACCTTAAAGGAATAAGGTTTTTGGGCGAAGAATGTTGGGTTATGAGCAAAACATCATTCCTATGGTGTTCATGCAACCCCTAATTCTTGGATCTAGTTTTTCTATTTGTACATGCAACAATTGTTCAAGACTTACAAACCCTAATCTAGCATACAAAAAAAATGAAATTAACATCTAATAAACAAGTTAGAAAGTTACCTTTGGTTGTTGCTTTAAGATCTTGAGCTTTTGAGAAACCTAGCACCTCAAATGTGATGCCTCTAATGAATCACAAACACCAAAAGCAATTGGATGATTTTGGAGAGAGAGGGGAAGACTAAAATCGGCTCTTGATCTCTTAGGGTTCAAGTGGTCCCGAATTGGGAAGCCAGGAGATTCCTTATATAGCTGAGGAATTAGGGTCTCAGTCAAAGACCTCTTCCGGTTGCTTAGGCTCTAAGCAGCCCACAAGAATCTTCCAGAATCAACCCCCTTGGACGAAATCCTTATGGGCTCTCATAAGATTTCGTCCAACCCCTTTCCAAGGGTTCCTCAGCACAAAATGCAATTATCTTATAATTACAATATCAGTCCCCCAAGTTTAATTAATATCTTTTGACCACAAAATTAATTCTAAATTAATTCTTGACCAATATTAATTAAACAAGTATGATTTCTCCTTTAATATATTATTCATATAATATATTAATAAACCATAATAACCTCTTTCTCCATTATTCATCCAGTCAAGTTGCTCTGGTGAAGGCAACCCAAAAGGACCATGCTACAACCGGGTCAAGTACATACCAAATATAGTTATGGATTAGACACCTAATCCAACAGTCTCCCACTTGGATAAGTCTAATAACTATAAATGCAAGTATGACTTCAAAACCCGATTAGCAATCGTAGCTCTCAAAAGCTGCTGTCGAACTCTAACACGTCCTATAGATAAGGGATTGTATAGTCCTCCGTTCTCAAGATATCGTGTGGACAAACACGTGGAACATAGTCGTACTTATTGTCCAGCTGTTTGTTTCTCGATTTCTGATTTTTCTGACATAGAACTTAATTGAACACATCAATTCAGTCCTGACCGAGTCCGACACATAAGTCAAAACAAAATCATCTAGGGGCCCAAGATATCGCTTTTAGCCTCGTAGGATAAAAGGAACAGATAAACTTCGACTTATATGTTTGTACTATTTACTCATCAAATCGTACACAACAATGTGTTTTATAACATCAAGTTACTGATACGTTTACACATTATCAATGCCCAACCGACTCGTAAACAACAACTCATATATCTAGGTTTAAAGACTATATGATATTATCGTCTCACAATCACTCGTGATTAAATTCCATGAAGTGATTCATGTGAGCGTGGGTTTAATCCAATACTCAAATCTTATTTCATAAGCACTCATGAATGTTGTAGCAAACCTTTGCTATGTCTAAACTCTTAGACAATCTACAAGCCAATTCATGACAGTCTTCTTTCATACTTAATTCCAACGTATGATCGACAGTGGATAGTTTAAATAATCTTATTATTCAGGAAGTCAAAACGGCAAAGTGAAACAATAGTAAATAGTTGACACAATTTATCTATTACAAGTTTATCTATTACAAGTTTATTCAGGAAATCAAAACGGCAAAGTGAAACAATAGTAAATAAAACATATTTATTTAATCATCAAAATGTCAATTACAATTTATCTATTACAAGTTTCTAAAATCTATCTAATCACTAAAACTAATATCGTCCTTCAGCCCAATGCTCCTAGCGTGCTGCAAGTGCTTAACCCTACTCAATCCCTTCGTAAGGGGATCTGCTGGATTATCCTCTGACGATACCCTCTTTACTACGAGGAGTCCCTCTTCTACCCGATGTCTAATGAAAAGATATTTCCTG